TTGCTCTTTTTAATGATGTTGGTGACTATTAAAGTAGACTAAACATTTGAGTTATTCTAAAGAACTAAAATTATTTCCTATAATCCTGAGTCTCTTGATAAGTCCTACTTCTTAATGAATTGTGCTTTGGGATGTACCCTTTCTAGCTCTAGGGAATTGAGGATGTTGTTAGGCAGTGATATACCAGTTTTTGTTCAACAGTTATCAAGATAATTTTTTTTCTCAGCTGAATTTTTAGCATGTAAACTTTTGCAACAGCTTGTTGAAGGTTTAGCCATGATGGTTGTACTAGGTATATGGAATATGAAGGAAGAAACTTAGGATAATTATACTGTGAAGCAATAGAACAGGTGATTCTATATTATGGATACCTCTGGTTTTGCCCTAAAAAAAGAAAAAAACTTTCTATTAATCTTTCTATTCACTCTGTGATGTTCAATAAAATTATTGCCATAGTAAGTCTTAAAAGTAATGATGAGAGGGTATAGGAAAGAGGATTGGTGGGGCCTCAGGTGTTCCTAGTCAGAGGCCTTGATTCTTTTTTCCTTTTCTTCTCTTATTATATCCATTTGTCAGAAGAGTAGGGAACTCTATTTTGTTCTAGAATGTCTAAGGAAGTACCTGATATAGGATATTAATGCTGTATAATTGTGTGAGATCATGGGAGACAATCAAAAATGTTCCAGTCTTCATTAATTGAAGTGTACATTGTTCGTTGGAAAGTGTATCATAAATTAAATAGGCTTAATAAAATAAACTGAAATTACTGGGGAGAAGTTGCTTCTACTGGCAATCCTTATTCTTGAAAGATTTTTTTTTTTAACCTGGAGGTCGATTTAAAAAGAAATAGCATTACTTGATTGGCCCTTCATTCCAATTAATAATTTTAACTTCGATAAATTCTGATTTCAGAGTTATGACTAGTCACATCTTAGCTTTTCCCCTTGCTGGTTAATTGGGGTGCTGGGGTTAATCTAAATTAAAACTTAAACTAATAGAGGTCAGCAAGGCAGCTGAAACACCTGAGTGAAACAAATGGGGCTGCCAGGCGCAACTTTATCTTGGCTGTTTCCCAAGAGAGAAGTGGCAGCAAATTGGAGTTGTTTCAGCCTTCTGTAAAGGTGAATGATGGGTGACACTTGTTAATGTACAGCATCTCCGGAAGCATTCCAGATTGCTTTGCTGCTGTACCAACTGCTGCCATCCATGCACAGTCAGTAGGAACTGGACCAGTTGCCAACATCTGGCAGCACAGCAAGGAATGGGTGCAAGTCTTGAAACCCCGCAGATTCTAAATATGGTGCTTAGAACTGTGCGGGCTTTAATCACTTACCACTCTTTGGCAGCAGGCTACAACAGCTTATCCTAGCCTCGTACATCACATCCCGACATCTGCTGAGCCGCAAGGCAGCTGCACATTTATTTTCTTTTCTTGCCTTTTCTCTTTGCCTCCTGTTCCTCTTCTTCCCACTTTCCCCCCTCCTACCTTCAGTTTTCTTCCCCTCCCCAATATGCTTCTTGGGAGAGATGATCTGTAAAGATTACTGCTTCATTGTGTGCAAGTAATTGTGGTGATGCCAGGCCCTTGACAGACACAACATAGCACCTGTTCTGCTGACCTGGTTAATTTCTTCTGTTGAGTGGGATTTGCCAGAGATTGGCGCTGAAGCCAATTCAATGATAAGGCTAAAGAAAATGGCTGTATGTTTTCTGTCACCTCCCAATTAAATTGGCTTCATAAAGTGCTTTCATTCATTTGTCAGGGTAGTAAGTCTGAGCTAAGTGTTGCATTCAGAAGTGGTACAATGTATTACAATGGCTTCCTGAATTTTCATTTTTTTAATATGGTCATATGAAACAGCTGGGTTGCAAATATAATACATTTTGCCTTTTTTAAAAAACCATACTTGAAGCCAGACTCTTTGGGTCCATGTTTTGTAAGGGAGAGATTATAACCACATTGAATTTTAATGTTTCATTGTAGGGGTTTAAAGGCTTACTTGGTTAATTCTGGTGTCACGAGGCTGTGTAAATGCCCTAAATACTGAGAATGATGCTCGGGGGGTTAGAACACCCAAAACACACACACACACACACACACACACACACACACACCCCTAAATACTGAGAATGATGCTCGGGGGGTTAGAACACCCAAAACACACACACACACACACACACACACACACACACACACACACACACTCTCTCTCTTTCCATCT